TGTATCCAGCTCAGAGTCTTTCAGTTCTTGTTTGGAGGATTTTCAGCCATTCTTCCTGCAAAAGGCTTCTAGCTCTGTGAGATTCTTGGGCCGTCTTCATGCTCTGCTCTTTGAGCTCTATCCACAGATGTTTAATGATGTTTAGGTCGGGGGACTGTGAGGGGCGTGGCCAAACCTTCAGCTGGCTCCTCTTGAGGTCGTCCATTGTGGATCTGGAGGTGTGTTTAGGATCATTGTCCTGTTGTAGAAGCCATCCTCTCTTCATCTGCAGCTTTTTTACAGATGCTGTGATGTCTGGAATTTAACTGAATCCATTCTTCCCTCCACCTGTGAAATGTTCCCTGTGCCACTGGCTGCAACACAAGCCCAAAGCATCATCCATCCACCCCCGTGTTTAACAGTTGGACAGGTGTGCCTTTTCTCTTCAAACATACCTTTGCTCATTGTGTCCAAAAAGTTCTATTTTACCTTCATCAGTCCACAGGACTTGTTTCCAAAAAGAATTATTGGTCAGTGATGGGGAAGGACACAAAGATTAGTAGGGTGATGTATAACTGTCTATTTAATGTATATATTGGGGTGCCGGTGGCTTAGTGGTAGAGCAGGCGCCCCATGTACAAGGCTGTTGCCGCAGCGGCCTGGGTTCAACTCCAGCCTGTGGCCCTTTGCTGCATGTCACTCCCCCTCTCTCTCCCCTCTTCACGCTTGTCTGTCCTATACATTAAAGGCGAAAAAGCCCCAAAAATATCTTTGAAAGAAAAAAAAGTATTATATATTAATGGACTATATGTATCACCATGGATTTCTTTTGTAAGCAAATATTAGACAAATGCGTTTTTTCTTATGTTTGGTCAGACCAGAGATGTGATAACATTAAATGGCTGAAGATGGCAGTTGAGCAGAGGTTAAAGGATGTCCTCATGTGATTTATATTGTGAATTTAGAGAGGATTATAAGTTTGAAAAATATTTACTCTGTGAAAACAAGAAGTATAGTCAGGCCATCTGTAACTTTTGAATTTCTAATAATAGACTCCCTAAAATATCAGGTAGATACAAGGGTCTGGAAATGAATGAAATGTAATTTGTGTAACGAGAACAGAAACAAGTATGTGCCTAAATATCTTTTGGCTTTATTATATATAGCTTTATTGCAGACTGATAACTCAAGAGCAATATGTAAACTGGGTGCTTTCTTGAACAATGTTTTGCCACTTTTTTAATGAAATAATCCACGGTCGCACTTGAGTGCAGGCTTGGTTGCCTTAGTTGCAGCTGCTCCTTTTTTTGATCTGTGATGACTCATTCTGACTGTTTACCATTTGTTTTGGTTTTTGTCTTGTTTGTACTCCATGCCACAATTGTGGTGAAGAGAAAACCCATTTAAAAACCTCTCGACTTTGAGACGGGACACCAGAGACAAAATGCGCACTCATTTCTGCAGCACACTGTCAAAATTCTACAAGAAGACCCTCAAGAGAAAGGTGTTGTTCCTACGTGTGTCCTGCCTATTGCTTACTTTGAAATCCATGTTGCATAATGTTTTGAGTCTGCTGTTCCCAGGAATTTCCAGGAGATGGAAAGTGATGTCACACCGTGCAAGGAGGAGTCTCTGCATGCCCCTTTTCCTGCCAACTGTGAGCTTTATTTATTATACCTGATGCCGAAATCACACGTCTATCAAGACCACAGTTATCTATTTTCTTTCCTCATGATCTGCTCAGAAAGTGCTACGTGTTTTTTACCATGCATAGTGTGTGTGAGCCCTCCCTCCCTACGCTGACCTCAGATCTGCCCCTCATACTGTGAACAAGGCGAGGGCACAATGAGCCATCTCCTTCTCACCAGCAGTGAATTACAAAGAGCTGTGACAAATATCTTTCACATTCACATCATGTCGTCCTGAGGGTGGACCACTAATTGATAAACCGCCATAAGGGAGGTGCAGCTGAACAGGAGCGTACCTATGTTCCCCGGGTTCTATGTTCCCCGGGTCCTATGTTCCCCGCTTTGTATGGGACCCCAAAAGGGTCCTATGTTCCCCGCTTTGTATGGGACCGGGGAACATAGACCCCTTATTAATAATAAGGGTTCTATGTTCCCCGCTTTTCCCCAAAAGGACCCGGGGAACATAGGCCCTTTTTTTAAAAAAAAGGTCCTAACCCCTAACCCTAACCCTAACCCCTTTGTCTCAAAAGGGTCCTATTTTCCCCAGCAACAGCGGGGAACATAGAACCCTTTTTCTTAAAAAGGGTTCTATTTTTTTTTCTTAAAAAGGGTTCTATGTTCCCCGGTCCCATACAAAGCGGGGAACATATTTCCTTTTGGGGAAAGCGGGGAACATAGGACCCTTTTTTTTTTAAAGGGTCCTATGTTCCCCGATCATGGAACATAGAACTTGGGGAATATAGGGATGACCCCCAGCTGAACAGCAGAGCAGAGCCTCCAGACCAGGAGGGGAAATGTGTGTTGGGTGTCACAGGGGTTTTGTCTCGTGCTCGTGGCTGTAATGAGCTCTTTGTTAACATCTAGATGTGTGTGTGTGCACAAGGGCTCAATGCAGCACATTATCTCGCAGTTGTGTGTCTCTACGGGAAGAGCCATTACCATGGCAACACCAAGCAATGAGTACCTTTTAAAAGGCTGGGCTCCTCTGTCTCTCCCTCCCTCTTTCCACCACTCTGTCTTTTATCTGCTCTCAGGCCATTCCACCTTTTTCACCCACAATAGTCAGCTGGCAGACAGAGAGGATGGCACAACGGGAGGATTTCTTAGTATCTGTTCAGCAGCTCTTTATATCCTGCAGTCTGCCAGTGTCTGTTAGAGAAGAGTGAACTCTGTCATTTTGGTTGCAGCAGGATATCTCCACTCACCAGAACAGCTCTGTGATCTTCTAGCAGAAGGATGTGTTGACAACAAGATGTCGCCCCCGTGTCTCTGTCCTGGGAGAATGGATTGTTGCTGCTAGCTCTGCACTGACTGAGCTGTGCTTACTGAAGATGTTAGCTGGACTTTTTTTTCATGTTGCTGGGCCTCTATCTTAACAGTGAAGCTAAATTGGATGTCTAAGGAAACATGTGGACAGAGATTTCCCTTCTTTCTTCACAAGACAGGATATGATAAAGTCAAAGAAGCTATGGCATTTAAAGGATGTGTTTAATTCTCAGTGATGTCAGTGAGGACTTTTTATCCCCGGGAGCAGAAGCAGCTAAATGTGGAGGCAGGGAAGTCTCACAGGGAGGAAGATGAGGAAAGAGACTGTTTGCAGCAGCTCTCCTGTTGTCCTGCCTGCAACCAGGGGTATGACATCATCCTGTTCCTGCCGTGCTCTCACACCATGTGCAGTCACTGTGTGGCGGCTGGAGAGGGAGCAAGGTCAGATGAGTCTAACGTCGGCCCAGCGGTCTGCTCTGTGCTGTGCCCGTGCTGTCGTCATCCTGTGGAGCTGCCATGCTGGACGTGGTCATCTGCCACTTCCTGTCTCCCAAGACATCCCACACTGAGTCCTGCATGTGTCGACAGGGAAACGGGCACCAAGGAGGGAGCAGCTGAAGGCCACATTCAACATGTGCAGGTGAGATATCCAAACTAAGGACAAAGTTATCTAAAGATTTAAATGTTTTATCTGTCACATGCTCATATAATATGTGCAGTGACATGCAGCGTGGTGTACTGCTAAAAAAATAATAAAAAAAATAAGCAAGAAATACAAGCGATGAACATTCAAAGTTAATTTCTTTTTAAAATATGTAATAAAAGTATTAAAATGCTAAAATGTATACCGACCTATGTGTATGTGGGCTGTGCAGTTTGTCATTAAAACAAAATTTTTAAAAAAAATCATTTGCTACAACTGCAAGGCGAACTATATGATAAAATGTTTACCCCCTTAAGTGCAAATATATAAAATTAATTGAAGGTAACACTTTATTTAACCAGCCTATTCAGCATTTATAAACATATAAGTTTTTATTTATGCATTTGTCAACAAAAATAACTCCTAATAACACCTGACTGTTAAACTGATACTGAATGACAATATCAGAAAATACATCTATGAAAATATAAAATATGTCTTCAAATTCTATGTTTTAACTTAACTAAAAAGTCCTTATATCTGCTTACAATTAATATAAATAGTTATATACAGCTTATAAATGCTAAATGTTAAGTGTTACCAAATTTAAAAAAACACAGTGTATATTTACAGTACAGGCCAAAAGTTTGGACACACCTTTTCATTCAATGCGTTTTCTTTATTTTCATGACTATTTACATTGTAGATTCTCACTGAAGGCATCAAAACTATGAATGAACACATGTGGAGTTATGTACTTAACAAAAAAAGGTGAAATAACTGAAAACATGTTTTATATTCTAGTTTCTTCAAAATAGCCACCCTTTGCTCTGATTACTGCTTTGCACACTCTTGGCATTCTCTCCATGAGCTTCAAGAGGTAGTCACCTGAAATGGTTTCCACTTCACAGGTGTGCCTTATCAGGGTTAATTAGTGGAATTTCTTGCTTTATCAATGGGGTTGGGACCATCAGTTGTGTTGTGCAGAAGTCAGGTTAATACACAGCCGACAGCCCTATTGGACAACTGTTAAAATTCATATTATGGCAAGAACCAATCAGCTAACTAAAGAAAAACGAGTGGCCATCATTACTTTAAGAAATGAAGGTCAGTCAGTCCGGAAAATTGCAAAAACTTTAAATGTGTCCCCAAGTGGAGTCGCAAAAACCATCAAGCGCTACAACGAAACTGGCACACATGAGGACCGACCCAGGAAAGGAAGACCAAGAGTCACCTCTGCTTCTGAGGATAAGTTCATCCGAGTCACCAGCCTCAGAAATCGCAAGTTAACAGCAGCTCAGATCAGAGACCAGATGAATGCCACACAGAGTTCTAGCAGCAGACCCATCTCTAGAACAACTGTTAAGAGGAGACTGCGCCAATCAGGCCTTCATGGTCAAATAGCTGCTAGGAAACCACTGCTAAGGAGAGGCAACAAGCAGAAGAGATTTGTTTGGGCCAAGAAACACAAGGAATGGACATTAGACCAGTGGAAATCTGTGCTTTGGTCTGATGAGTCCAAATTTGAGATCTTTGGTTCCAACCGCCGTGTCTTTGTGAGACGCAGAAAAGGTGAACGGATGGATTCCACATGCCTGGTTCCCACTGTGAAGCATGGAGGAGGAGGTGTGATGGTGTGGGGGTGTTTTGCTGGTGACACTGTTGGGGATTTATTCAAAATTGAAGGCACACTGAACCAGCATGGCTACCACAGCATCCTGCAGCGACATGCCATCCCATCCGGTTTGCGTTTAGTTGGACGATCATTTATTTTTCAACAGGACAATGACCCCAAACACACCTCCAGGCTGTGTAAGGGCTATTTGACCAAGAAGGAGAGTGATGGAGTGCTGCGGCAGATGACCTGGCCTCCACAGTCACCGGACCTGAACCCAATCGAGATGGTTTGGGGTGAGCTGGACCGCAGAGTGAAGGCAAAGGGGCCAACAAGTGCTAAACACCTCTGGGAACTCCTTCAAGACTGTTGGAAAACCATTTCAGGTGACTACCTCTTGAAGCTCATGGAGAGAATGCCAAGAGTGTGCAAAGCAGTAATCAGAGCAAAGGGTGGCTATTTTGAAGAAACTAGAATATAAAACATGTTTTCAGTTATTTCACCTTTTTTTGTTAAGTACATAACTCCACATGTGTTCATTCATAGTTTTGATGCCTTCAGTGAGAATCTACAATGTAAATAGTCATGAAAATAAAGAAAACGCATTGAATGAGAAGGTGTGTCCAAACATTTGGCCTGTACTGTATATTAGACATCTGCATTATGTATTGTATGTAAGATGGACCATATCGATCAATCAAATTTTATATTATAGCACCTTCCAAAACAAATCAATGTCATTCAAAGTGCTTTACATTTTGATTGAAAAATACAGGGAACAAAAAAGTAAAATCAGGAAAAGGACTGGGAAACTAATGCACACTGTGTCATACAATAATAATTTAAAACAATAATAGGAGATAAAAAAGATCAAAACTACTGTGCTGCTACTAAAATAAATAATATTTAAAATAACACACAGGATAAAATATAAAATCAAAGTCAGGAGAATGGCAATAATAAAAAAACAGATAAGACACTGAATAGAAAAAGTAAAAATAAAAATAAAATACAGAATAAAATAAGATATAAAAACAATCAGGGAAATAGCAATAAGACAAATACAGATAAAAAACAATAAATAGAATAGTTATAAAACAATAGACTCTACACAGGACACTACATAAAAGCCAGACTAAAGAGATGTTTTTTAGCCTACGTTTAAAAGTGTCAAAGTTTCTAGTCCTCATGATAGAAATGCTGTGTAACAACAGGTGACAGTAGACTCAAAGGCACGACTCTGGAGACAGGCTGGGTAAAATAACACAGTCTTTACTGGTCAAAAGGTAAGTTTGGTGCAAAGAAGGACAATCAGTGGAGGCAAACAAATCCAGAGGAAGAGTCAATCAACAGGCTAAATCCAAAAAAACAAAATAGGACACAGGGAAACAAAAGGCTGGAACACTAGACACACACTAGGAGCTAAGATGAACTGGCACTGAGAGAAAACAACACACACACAGAATACTGTGGTGAGGGGAAGGCTACAGAACACAGGTGAGACCAATCAGAGCAAAAGGGAGGGAGAACACACAGGGGCAGGAAGTGAAGTGATCTGAACCCAGAGGAGATGTGAGTTCAAAGTAAAACAGGAAACAACATGAACATATAATATAAAAATCCTAAGCTTAGAAAGTTGAGCTGTGACATGCTGAATGTCCCTCCATCTTCTTTACTCATTTACATGTGTTTATTGACTTTGATGAAGGCAAACTAAATCTGTTTCCTTTTATTTGACCGTCAGATTATTATTAACTAATTGTTTATATTTAATTGAATCATAAAGCACTAGTTGAACATTTCTGGGGAAAATGCTTGCTTGCTGTCCTGAGAGTTAAACCAGCTGGAGTAGAACAGCATACTGGATTTATACATCTCAATAAAAGGTGTTAATTAATTAGCTTTATGACACAGCTTCTAATTCTCGATTCTATGGTCTGTTATTTCTAAAGATCATTGCTGGATGCAGTTCTGATCAGACATGCTCAGTAAAAGCAATAAAACATGTTGAAATCAATAAAATCATTTTGAAATCTATACTATATGTCAAATAGTTGATTTTATTACAGAAAACAAGTGTCACACACTCTGGCTCCATTTGCATTTCTTTTATTTTGATGTGATGTAGTGGTTAGCACTGTTGCCTCACAGCAGGAGAGTTCCTGGTTCGAGCATACCGCTCTCCTGTGCAGAGTTTGCATGTTCTCCCTGTGTCAGCGTGGGTTTCCTCCAGGTGCTCCAGCTTCCTCCCACAGTCCAAAGACATGCAGGTTAACTGGTGACTCTAAACTGTCCGTAGGTGTGAATGTGAGTGTGAATGGTTGTCTGTCTCTATGTGTCAGCCCTGTGATAGTCTTCTTGATGAGTCAAGACCTGCATCAACCTGTTGGCCTTCATTTTGCCATAATGACCCACTGGTTGTACATTATCTCTTGCTCAAAAGTGCTGGTTGCTGGTTTTGCAACCTTTGGATAAGCTATAAGCTGTTTCCCCCTTTATCAAGTGTTTATGCTAAGCTAAGCTACTCACCTCCCAGCTGTAAATTCGCAAAATGTCACACAGTTCCCTGGATCATCATCACAACAGGGAGCAAAAATAAATTCACTTTGGATCAAAGTTTTCCTGACAAATCCCTATGATCTCCATGTATTCCATATGACTGACACTGCATTTCTATTTTTAATATCCACCACATTTAGGGGGACACACACTGCGGGGATGCAGTTGACATGACAACACAGAGCTGTTACCATGGTGAGTATAGTTATGTTTTCACAGGTCCGAACCTTTATATCATCTGTCAACATGGAGACCTACAGCGTTGTAAACATTCTCCCTGTTTGACCCAGACTCCAGTGCTGCCACTTCCTCAGTAGCACCAGTGGATGGTGCTGTAGACCTGCAGGAGGAGGAGATGGCGCAGTCAGTCTTTGGTCAGAGATCATAATGCTTTTAATGCTCAAAGGTTTTATGTGTAGAGCATGAGCAGTGATTTTAATTGTATAAACAACTATAATAAAGAGCTTTACGTATTCTCTTCTTCCACCCTCTGGTCTTTTTTAGGACTATGTTTTGCTCTGGACGCTTCAACTGTCCCTCCATCGCTCCATCTTTCCAACTCCTCCCTCACCGTCACCTACCAAGGAGAGACCCCTCCTGGCCTGCCTCCAGACAGCAAGGCCAGGAGATCTTTGACCTCTGACCCCGGGGTCACGCCGGCCCTGCCGCAGGTCTGCGCTGATGTTGTCATCGCACGAGGACAGTATTACTGGGAGGTGGATGTCTGCAACAGCTCAGTCTACAGGATCGGTAAGAACTCTGTGCAGTTTGTTGTGGTTGGTGCGATGCCAGTGTGCTTATTGCTTCCAGAAAGCCTCACTGTTAGTCAGCAAGACTGTGCTTGTTTAAAGCCACACTCACATGTATACACACATGCACACGTTATCAGACACAGCTTCATAGTTCATAGTGCCACCAAGTGGTTACACCATCGAGAGACCACTGATCATTGCTTAAGCAATGTCGGAGAGGTGATTTCCACTTTGAACGTTGAGTCAAATAACTGGAACAAGTTGTCCTTGTGACTGCAGCTTGTGTATAACTTAATCAGTATGGCATTTCAACAGGTTTTCATTTGTATCAAATGTGAAAAATTGCCACTTTAAAGCTTTGAAAAAGAAACTTTAACCACTGAAATAACATATTTCAAATCATGTTTGAGCAGACAGACAGTACACATGATTAAACTGTACTTCAAAACTTCTGGATATGTTTCAATGTGGCCGATAAATTTTATGTTACAAAAAAAATATGCCACTACAGGCTACTATAACCGCTCAGTGACTGCCACTTATTAAACACACATTAGTCAGCACAGTAGTCATCGATCACAGTCACAGGATGTCTGTATGCACAGCGTTTCACTTGTTAATGGTTCATATCACCTGAAGGATATTCATGCTCCCATTTTGCCTCATATCATGTGGTGCAACGTTACAATCCTCATCATCAGCTGCTGTAATCATCCGCATTTTACTGTCATTAAAACATAAAGAAAGCTCTTCACTCTTATGACTGCATTAATTAATGAAATCAGTGACAGGACAGTGTGCCAGGAAACAAACAGGAAAACACAACATAACCTGCCATAACCTGCAAACAGTGAAAAAGAAGTGAGACTCTTACATATCTCAGGTCTCCAATCACCTCACAAACGTTCTGAACAACAGAGGAAGACTAAAAGTCTAACAAATACAATGTTGACAGTGATGTTTAGCAAGTATACATTTATCAGTTTAGTTTAGGGTTTAGTTTAGCCGTCAGCAGAGTCAGCACCTCCAAATCTGAAGCCATGGTTCTCTGCTTGAAGACGGTGGATTGCCCCCTCTGGGTTGGGAGAGAGTTACTGCCTCAAGCGAAGGAGTTGAGGTCTTGTTCACGGGTGAGGGTAGAATGGAACGTGAGATGGATCTGCAGTTTGGTGCAGTGTCTGCAGTGATGTGGACACTGTGCTGGACTGTTGTGGTGAAAAGAGAGATGAGCCAGAAGGCAAAGCTTTCAATTGACTGGTCCATCTCTGTCCCAACCTTCACCTATGGTCATGAGCTCTGGGTAGTGACTGAAAGAATGACGTCGCAGATATAAGCGACCAAAATGAGTTTCCTCTGTGGGGTGGCTGGCCCTTTTTTCACATTTTTTCTCTGACATCTCAAGATCCAGACCTTCAGGCAGTTTTTACCTGGAGCTGAATTATCTTTCTTCCTCTCAAAAACAAACAGACCCAGTGATTTGAACCTAAACACTGAATAAATCAGTTTTTCATTCAAATCAGTGTTTTTCTGATGCTCTTGTCATGGAGGGGCTTCTAAATATGGTGACTGATTGAAAAACACAAAAGGTCCTATCTAGAGCCAGTGTTTGGTTTGTCTGTGCTGGGCTACTGTAGAAACATGGCAGTGCAACAACATGGCGATCTCCATAGATGAGGACCTGCACTCTGTTAAGATATAATTGGCTCACTCTAAGCAACAACTAACGATTCTTACATTCAGGTGTTTATACTCACACTAAAATGTCAATCTAATGGTGGCCCAAGAGGAAAAGTCTAGGATCACTCAAACCAGTAGGATTTGTCCTTTGCAGGTCATGAATATCTGCGCAAAAATTTGTCACTGTTTGTCAAATAGTTTCAAGTACTATAAGGCAACTGGACTTGCTTGTGTTTCTTGAAGACATTTCACCTCTCATCCAAGAGGCTTCTTCAGTTCATGAAGAGTTCTTGGATGAGAGGTGAAATGTCTTCAAGAAACTCAAGCAAGTCCAGTTGCCTACGATATAGCACTGAAGATTACCATGACCTTGATGACTGAGAGTCTTCACCAACTTGTCAAATAGTTGCTGACACAACCCCTTATCCTTAGAGCCATGCAACATGGCTGACAACAATGACTTTTAACTTAATGACCTTAAAGAATAAAGTGAAAGAATCAGACAGGAAGTATTATGGTGACAGGATTTCTAAAGAGTCAAGAGTTCATGGGTTAAAGTTTTTTTGTAAAGGCTGCTAATCCATAACTGCGCGCAGTGAATATGAAATGTTCCTCTTCTGTCTCTCAGGTGTGAGCTCATTGGATGGTTCTGGTGGCTGGTGGCTTGAAAGGCAGGGCTTGTCTTTCTGTGCAGTGTATGATGGGAGCCGGGAGCCGCTCTGCACTGTCCCACCTCAGATCAAAACCCTCGGGGTCTTCCTCAACATCGGAGGACACGCCCTGAGCTTCCACAACCCTCTGACCCAAGAGCACCTCGTCACGCTTCCAACACGGTTCAACCCTGCTGGAGTTCTCCCGGCTCTGGGCCTGGGCCAGGGTCGACTGAGGCTGCGCTGTGGCCTCCCCCCTCCTCCTCATGTGTTCCTCAGTAAAGACTCGGCCTACAGGCGACCCTGTGGGGCTGGTGGAGGCCGATGGCGCAGGGAGATTCCCTTCCAGTCAGTGAGGAAAGTGATACAGAAGTTTGAGGAGCTGGCTGTGTCAGACTCAGACTCAGGCCTGGTGTCCAGTTTTGGATCGTCCTGCTCCACCCTGGCTTCTTTGCCAGATCTGGGGAATCCTGGGATTTTTCCCTGTGGGCAAGCAGGACAGGAAACTGGGGCTGAATAAGAGACTCTTCAATGGGAGCATCAGAAACACGCCCACTGCTCCTCTGAGTGGTTTGATCTTTGACTGTCATTTGAAAGGCTAATTTTTTTTATCTTGAAGGACTTTTGGTTGCCTCTTTCCACTCTCTGCGTGACCCCGGACCTGCAATTGACTCTCTCCCCAGGACGCAGCCCTTTCTCTCATCCAAACAACCCCCACTGGTTTGGGATCAGGCCAGAAGAGTCCTCCGTAATGTGAAGTGTGAGGAAAGGGTGGGCTTTAAGCAGCGGGACTCCTTGATTTGTCTCTGTGTGACGGTTGTCAGACAGTAGGGGTCCTACACTATTTGTGCGCACGTTCCTGAATGTGTGTATGCGGGCGCAAGCACTACCCCGAGTGTGTGCATTTGTTCAGTCACATTTATGTGTGTGTGCCAGCAAGAGGGAACAATGTACAGGCAGGGGGTGAGATGACGAGGTGTGAGTACAGTGACACCAGCGGTGTTGACACAGAGTGGAGAGGACAGGTGGTAACATAGGTTTGTCCCGCGGCCTGCCTTCGATAGGACAGTAAGGCTGCCCTTTGCTGACCCTTTGAAAACCACAGGACTCCCCAAGACTTCAAAAGGCATGACAGGCAGAAGGAGTACAGAGAGGGAGAAAGAGAAAACAGCATGCATGAATTTAAGACAGCAGGTGATGACCTGGTTAAAAAGAAATGGGCAGAGAGATGGATTCCCAACAGCTTTCATGCTGCTGAAGCTCTGAATAGATCAACAGACTCAGGCCACAACATCTGAGAGTTTGTTTTAAGGTGGTACTGTGCTGCTACTTTACATCAGTGGGGATTAGTAATAGAGACACATTAGTTTTCTTGGAGGACTGGTCACAAAGCACAGGACTTTTCCCTGGAAGACTGGTGTTCAAAACCACATGAACTTTGATTAATTTTAAGGTATATTATTACCATGTTGCTTTTCCTTAACCTAACCAGTAACTTTACTTGCCCAAACCTAACCTCTGTAACTTTACCTACATTGCGTAACTTCACATTGAGGATATAACGTCATTCGTGGGGTGCTAATTCATAGGACATCATACGAACCGTTGTATGAGGACACACTGAATACTCTTCACTATGTTTTCATTAGTTTATGATCACCTGAAAATATGAGCTGTTTATATCTACAAACACAGCAGCTCCTCTTCCACGAAGTCCGCCATGTTGTTCCACAGTAGCCCAGAACAGACAAAGAGCACCAGCTCTAGTTAGGGCCATTCGCATTTTCACATTTTAGCCTTGGCCACCATGGTTCTCCTGCATGCTTGGCACATGGGTGAAGTTTCATTTCTGAAATCTCACCACTAGATGTCACTAAATCCAACACGTTCTGATCCCAAGTTGTTGCATATTGCCACTTTGTCATTGGACGTTCACGTCCAGATATTATGCACTAGGTCAACACAGTCTCATTTCGAAGTCGTTGAATACCGCCACTTGGTCCGTGACTTCAGGCATCAGACCCCCATGAAAGAAATTTATCCTTTCACACCAGCATGATACAATGCCAGTTGGCATCAGGGGAAACATGGCTGGACAACAGCGTAAATTAAGGGTAGGGCCAGCGGGACAAGTGGTGCATGGGTCCAGCAACCACAGACTTTCACCAGGAAGGCCGGTGTTCACTTGCTGTAAGATTGTACGGCAAAACACTGTTCTTTTTTTCCCAAACCTAACGATGTGCTTATCTTGAAAAAGACAGTATGTAAAAGTATACATGTCACAGGCTGAAGTTGACACGGCGTTCCAAAACATCAACGACCGATCCCAGCTCCTTATATTACGTAATTACTGGCAGTATTTTAAACTGATTCCATCAAATGGCGAATCAAACCATCACAAAAGGTGGCTTTTGGTGTCTGTGTCTGATACCAAAATCAGGAACAAAGCCACAGTATTTGAAGTCTTTCGAATAAGACCAGGCTGCTGAATCCTACACGCTGGACCTTTAATTGATGAAAGTGACACCTTCAGTCGTGATTATATTTGACAGATGCTACATACAAATGTGTATAATACCCCTTTTTACTGAGGGTTTTCTCTGCAACTAAAACTTCCTTCTGTGCTTCTTCTTCGTCGTTGGCTTTAAGCTCCACACACCCTGGTTTTTGCATGTTAGACACACACTTAGTGTGAGTGATTCTGGCAAAGGAAACAGTGAGAGTATAAACTTTTCCTCATTTTCTCCTCCATTCCCGAGGCTCCAAGCCCTATTTGAGGAACCACTGGTGGCTAACACTTGGCATGGTCACTGTTCATATTCTCCCTGTGACCACTTATGATTGAGTAATTCAGGCTCCGTTCCCATCTTCTCCTCTCTTGTCAGTTTTTTTTCTTACAGTGACTTTTTGCCTTTTTAGAGGGTGCAAAACCTTAATTCTCATTGTAGGATGAGAAAAAAACTCACAATTAAAACAAGCATCAATCAGCAGTAGCAGAGCCCAGCAGGGGCCCTTCGGCTCTGAGGAAGAGTAGCAGTGGAGCGGGGCCAACTTTCCATTGAGCATTATTCATTTCATGCATGCACCAAATCAGTGAAGCAGCGGGTCAGACTCAGTAATAAGCGATGAGTCAAAGAGAAGCTTGTCAGACTGTCGCCTCTCAGACCACTCATCAGGATGACTGTGTGTTGATGTTTAACGGTCGAGGTATTTACCGCGCGAGTAAAAAAATGCATGTGCCGTGACCGCTTTTGGCGCGGCTCTCCCTGCACATCTATCGGCCTTTAGCAATAAAGTGTGTGGAAGCAATTTGACTCTTGTAAACAGAAATGAGAGGGGCGGGATGCAGATTTCAAAGAGCAGAGAGCAGAGACAGGGAGAGAAGGAGACAGAGGGGAGAAGGAGAGGGGGAGTTTTCCAGGAAGGATGGATAAGACTTGAAACATACTATGCCATGTGTGCACATTTGGCTGCGTCTACTGTATGACTCTGAGACAGATAAGCAAAGTTAGCAACTAATTGCCCTGTAGATTGCACTGAGGCACAGCAAATCAAACAATAGTAAGAGTAATACAAAATAAAAGAACACAATAACAGATGACAACACAAGATAAGAACAATAAAAATAATCAAATGAGCAGCGTGCTAAGATTAGATGTCACTGATTCAGCAGCCTCAGGTCCTTGGGCAGGGAGCTCCAGATGGATGGATGACCTTCTCAAGATCATGTTGAGAGAAAAAGGACCTGATTTTGGAGATGATTCTAAATTGGTAGAAAGAGGCCTGGACGATGCTTGTAATCTGTTCTTCAAAGGAGAGGTCACTGTCTTTTGGCTGCAGGTTTGACATTTGCAGATCGGAGGTTAAGATGTTTCTGAACATGAGCTGTAACTAAGTAGGCTGTATTTACTCGAGTATTTTGAGATATTTCCATTTTATTTATTCACATCTGGCACTGCACTGTGTTTTTTTTATTTTCATGTTGAATGTGTTTCATTATAATTTTTTTATTCTATTCTTTTATGTGTCTGTTATTTCTTGTCTTAGTGTCTTCTGATGTCTCATCTATAAAGCACTTTGAACTGCCTCGTTGTTGAAGGGTGTGTCACGTTGCCTGTCTCCTTCTACTACACATGTTTCAGAATTAAACAGTGTATGCTCTACATTTATTTGACAGCTATTTATTTGTTAGTTATTTTACAGATTTCCCACACACTTTCAGGATGCTACCTTTGGAACCAAAAGCCCCGTTTCCACCCAGCAGTACGATTCAGCTCAGTACTCATACTTTCAGTTCCCACAGTGAAAAGTTGTGGATGGCACCAACAGAACCGTTCTTTACCGTCCCCATGTTTGGTCCCCCCTCTGTTGGGGTACCTAGCACACAGATCTGGTACTAAAAGGTGGAGCTGTGAACACTGCAGTCTGATTGGTCAGTAGAGGATGGTCACTCTGCTCAGGGCTGAGTTGTGTCTGGTTTTGAGGCTCATGTAACCACTGTTCATACTGTGGAGAGTTTTATTAGTAAACTGTAACTTGTGCTGGACGGAGCAGTGAGTGACAACAACCCCGGCCACATTTAAGAGTGGAGTAGAAACACTAGGGTCTAGGTACCATGTCTGAGGGGTTCCTTTTGGTTCCAAAGGTACTGTACTGAAAGTGTTTTGGTGGAAACGGGGCTAAAATAGGGATATTTGCCTCATGAAGGGTTAGTCACGAAATGTTGCAGCATTAAAATCATTATTTTTTCATGTTAGACAGTCTTTTCTACAAGCTTCTCGTCCCTCTCATATGCACCTGTTTGGAGATGGATGTGTGAAGTATTCCTTTGTTTTGAATTAGGACAACTTAAAAACATGAGCACCTTGTTCTGAGATGTGAATATAAAGAAGCCCTGAAGCAGCAGAAACAGATAGCAGGTAACAGAGCTCAAGAAAAGAGGAAGATTATTCAGTCAGATGCAGTTCTGTATCAGGACGACCTTCGGCCAACTTCTTTGAAAATTCAGGGTACAAAGAAAAAGGCATATTGCACATGTCTAAGGGGATATGAGGAATTATATGGAGTCAATACAAATATGAGGGACAACTGAAATTAACACATCTGAAAATGAATTGAACCCAGTGACACTGCCCTCTAGAATCATGCTGCAAACAATTCAGTGATTCATGTATGAAGCAATTAATACCTCTGGGACCAGTTTTGTAGTATGTATGACATTTAAGGCTTAATTTCTCCTTAGCTGAGGGACTTACACAGTTACACAAAATCCCTTAAAAGATTTCCTTAGTTAAGAAAAAACATTAACTCACTGAACTGAAAGAGATTTTAAAGTAAAGGTTTGTTTGTTTGTTTGTGACGCTTGTTATCGTCTCACAGAGTTGTCTTATAGTTAGATTGTAAAACAATGGCAGAAGAAAAGAAGACAATGAAACCATATTGGTCCGAGGAGGAAAAGATTAAACTTCTGGAGGAATACGATCATACAGAGCACAAACTGCAAAGTTTATTTGATCCTCA